AGAGGGCAAACCCTGTTTTTGTTCCATTTAGAAACCCGAAATACTTGATAAATCCCCCTTTACCATGATTGCGGCAGAGGGTAAAAATATATAACTTTCCCTTTTCCCTTTCTCATTTATCTCCACCCCCGTACTTCCAAAAGTATCCATATATATCCCCAGTTACCCTTTTTAAAAGCCCTTTTTTGGGTCCCATCGACAGCACCCCCGCAGGGGGTTTTTTTTTTTCTGCTTTTATGAGAGGAACAAAGATTCAAATTTTGTTTTCCCCTACCCTCTCACCCTGGAGCAAAGCCCCTTGATCATGTGTATCCCCTCAGGCAAATTTGGTTTTCAACCTGTTTACCATAACTTTTGGGATACAATTTAGTATCTGTGATTCAGTAAAAGAAATCGTCTATAGCTGAACTTTGAAGTGACATCCTACCATCCTTTGTGACTGAGAACTACAGGTGTTGTAGGATTCCCGCCTCATTTCCATTCTCCCCCTCCAATGCGTTCATATAATATCCTTATTTAGGTACTAATAAGGTTTTCTTAATTTTTTATAATACCTCACCGATAATCCATCTGGCCCCTGGGCTTTTCCCAGCCATGGTACTTTTTAATGCTATTTTATTTCTTTCTGCGTTCATATCTACTGATTCCTAGGGCTTTTTCATGTACCTCACTTATTTTCAGTAACCTTGCATTTTTTTTAAATATATCCATCTTTTTTATCCATTTCTTCCTATTCCATCATTATTTGTAGAACTAAATGGGGAGTAAAATTATATAAATTGCTATAATATTCTTTAAACACCCTAGCGATTTTTTTGTATTTTGTTGAGTACAATAATTTCTCCTTGGGGTCTCTTATTTTTTCTATATAGATTATTATTATTATTCTTTATACAGTATTTATTAAAGCGCCAATAGTTTCACTCAGCGCTGTACATTACAAAGGGGGACAGAACAGAACATGTGATCAGAACAATACCAATACAATGCAAAACATGAGGGGATCGAGGGCCCTGCTCTTTCGAGCTTACAATCTAGAAGGGAGGGGGATGTGGTACAGGAGGAGATAGCTGTGGGGGGATGGTAGAGTAAGAGTGGAGGAGGTCAGGCAAGTTAGCAGGGGGGTGGGTAGGCTTCCCTGAAGAGATGGGTTTTCAGGGTGCGCCTAAAGGAGAGGAGAGTAGGTGATAATCTGATGATGGGTTGGGGCAGGGAGTTCCAGAGGATGGGTGACACCCTGGAGATGTTCCTGGAGAGTCTGGAGGCGGCATGGGAGGAGGAGACCAGGGAACTAGAGAGAAGGAGGTCTTGTGAGGAGCGGAGTGTGCGTGCTGGGGCGGTACTTGGATGGATATTAGGTCAGTGATGTAGTTCGGGGCAGTATGGTGGACAGCTTTGTACGTCAGTGTTAGGATTTTAAATTTGATCCGTTGCGCAATCGGAAGCCAGTGGAGGGATTGGCAGAGGGGGGTGGCGGAAATGGAGCGGTTGGAAAGGTGAATGAGTCTGGCAGCCGTATTCAGGATCGACTGAAGCGGGGATAGCCAGCGGCGAGGCAGGCCAGTGAGGAGGGAGTTGCAGTAGTCGAGTCGTGATATGATGAGGGAGTGGATGAGCTGTTTAGTGGTTTCTGGGGTTAGGAACGTGCGGATTTTGGCGATGTTGCGGAGGTGGAGTCTGCACGAGTTTGTTAAAGATTGGACTTGGGGCTGGAAGGATAGGTTGGAGTCCAGAATGACACCAAGTACTCTGGCCTGCAGGGCGGGTTTGATGGTTGGCGTTGTTGGATGTGATGTAGAAGTCAATGGGGGGTGGGGTTCGGGCTGGGGGGGAAGACAAGGAGCTCGGTTTTGGAGAGATTCAGTTTAAGGAAGTGGAGCGACATCCAATCTGATATGTCGCTCAGTAGGTGTGTGATTTTGGGCAGAGACCGAAGGGGTGAGGTGGGGGGTTGAGAGATAGATTTGTGTGTCGTCGGCATAGAGGTGGTAGTTGAAGCCGTGAGAGTGTATGAGTTGGCCAAGGGAGGAGGTGTAGATGGAGAGAAGAAGGGGCCCAAGGACAGAGCCTTGAGGGACCCCAACAGAGAGGGGGAGTGAGGGGGAGGTGGTGGTAGCATTATAGGTAACGCTGAAAGAGAGCGTTGTGACAGGTAGGATGAGAGCCAGGAGAGAGAGCAGAATCTCTGAGGCCGAGGGAGTGTAGTATTTTTTGAGGAGGAGGGGGGTGTGGTCGACTGTGTCGAAGGCCGCAGAGAGGTCAAGGAGTAGGAGCACTGAATAGTGGCCATTAGCTTTGGCGGTTAGAAGGTCGTTGGAGAGTTTGAGTAAGGCGGTTTCGGTGGAGTTGTAGGGGGCGGAAGCCAGACTGTAGGGGATCGAGGAGGTTGTTGTTGTCGTTGAGGTGAGAGCATAGGCGGGTGTAGACGAGGCGCTCGAGGAGTTTAGATGTAAGTGGGAGCAGGGAGATGGGTCTGAGGTTGTTCGGGTCATTGGTTCACTATTGTCCAGGGAGGGCTTTTTAAGTATGGGGGGTGATGTGTGCATGCTTCAGAGGGGAGGGGAAAGTGCCGGAGGAGAGGGAGAGATTAAAGATGTGGGTGAGGGAGCGTAGGATGGAGGGGGAGGGAGGTCGTAGGAATTGTGAGGGGATAGGGTCGAGGGGGGCAGGTGGTGGTGAGGCGGGCATCAGAGAGGATCTTGGAGACTTCCTCAATGGTAGTAAAGGTCAAAGGTGTGGAGTGTTGGGGGAGCTTCAGTATGAGGAATGTAGGGTGGGGTGGAAGAGTGGAGGTCAGAGCAGTGGTGGGGCCGTGGGAGAGGGGTGATGATGAGGGGGTAGCCGAGTGAGGAACGGGGGACGGGGTCGGAGGGAGTTTTGAGCAGTGCGACGAGAAGTCCCTGCGGGTAATGTCGAGGGGGGGGGGGGATGAGGGAGTAGCTGTGTGAGAGGGGACGGGTTGAGAGAGGGCGTGTGAGTTGCGGCAATGTCCTTGCGAATTGTGTCAATCTTGTTTTTGAAGTGATTGGCAATCTCAAGGGCGGAGAGTGAGGTGCTGGGGTGGAGGTGGGGGTGGAGGAGAGTAGAGAGTTGAAGGTGGAGAAGAGTCGGCGAGGATTGGAGGAGAGGGCCTTTGATGAGGGTCAGGAAGTAGGCTTGTTTGGCTGCGTGGAGGGAGGAGGTGTAGGTGCGGAAGGCAGATTTGTAGCAGGTGAAAGCTTGTTGGGATTTTGTTTTTTGCGCCATAGTCGCTCCAGGGCACGACTGCGTCGTTTGAGGGTTTTGGTGTGATCAGTCTGCCAGGGCTGGAGCGGTCGGTAGTCTGATGTTGCGTGTGGTTAAAGGCGCTAGTGAGTCAAGGGCTGCTGACAGTGCGTTGTTGTAGGCAGTCATAGCCAAGTCGGGGCAGGACAGGGGGAGAGATGCGGTCGTGGAGTTGATCAGCTGCAGAGTGGAGGGGGGGGGGTTAAGGTTGCGGAGGTTACGGCTGGTAGTAGTGTGACATTTGGAGGGGTTTTTGTTGGAGGACGAGGAGATAGAGAAGGTGATCAGGTTGTGGTCAGAGAGAGGGAAGGGGGTGTTAGTGAGGTTGTGGGGAGCGCAGCGGTTGGAGAAGACAAGATCAAGGATATTCCCGTCGGAGTGGGTGGTGGATTGTATGCACTGTGCAAGTGCAAAGGAGGAGGTTAAGTGGAGGAGACGGGCTGTGTCCGGGTTGTCAAGGTTGACAGGGATGTTGAAATCCCCAAGAATGATGGTGGGTAGCTCAGAGGAGAGGAAGAAGGGTAGCCAGGAGGAGAAGTCTTCCAGGAAGCGGGGTATGGATCCAGGAGGCCGGTATATCACAGCAAATCTTCAGGGGGGTTGGGGAGAATAGTCGGAGGCAGTGGGCCTCGAAGGAGGAGAAGGATAGGGAGGGGGGGTTTGGTTTGGGAGGACTCGGAAGGTGCTCCGCTGGTGACAGGAGCAGACCAACCCCACCACCTTTACGACCGTTAGGTCTGGGTGAGAGTGGGTCCAGGTGAGACCTCCATAGGAGAGTGCAGCAGGGGAGGTAGAGTCAGTTGGGCTGGATCCAGGTTTCCGTGATCGCCAGGAGGTTGAGGGAGCGGGAAACAAAGAGGTCGTGGATGGCGGTAAGCTTGTTGCACACCCGATCGGGGGGGTCTCGGGCGTTCAGGAGTGCACATGAAAACGGGGGGGAGATTTTAGGGAGCAGGGGGGACAGATACTAGGTTGCGGTAGGACATGGACGGGGCGGAGAGGGTGTTGTGCGGGTGAGGGAGGTGGTGGAGGGCCAGGATTCGGGGAGATGTCTCCCGCGGCTAGGAGGAGGAGAAGGGTGAGAAAGGTGGCATGGGAGCGGGATGTGCAGGAGCGTGAGAAACTCCTAGTGGAGGTGTTCGGGTCAGTGGGAGAGTGGAATACACGGGTACAGTGCGGGTACAGTGTTGCATGACCACGCAATTGTCATTCCAAGTGTGACAGCACTGAAAGCTGAAGATTGGGGGGGGGGGAGTGTCCGGACTGGAAGGGGGGGAAAGTGCCCGGACTGGAAGGGGGGGTGAAAAAGTGTCCGGACTGCAAGGGGGTGAAAGTGTCCGGACTGGAGGGGGGTGAAAGTGTCCGGAGTGGAAGGGGGTGAAAGTGTCCGGACTGGAAGGGGGGGAAGTGTCCGGAGTGGAAGGGTGGTGAAAGTGCCCGGACTGGAAGGGGGTGAAAGTGTCCGGACTGGAAGGGGGTGAAAGTGTCCGGAGTGGAGGGGGTGAAAGTGTCCGGAATGGAAGAGGGGGGAAGTGTCCGGACTGGAAGGGGGGGGGAAAGTGTCCGGAGTGGAAGGGTGGTGAAAGTGCCCGGACTGGAAGGGGGTGAAAGTGTCCGGACTGGAAGGGGGGGAAAGTGTCCGGAGTGGAAGGGTGGGGAAAGTGTCCGGACTGGAAGGGGAGGAAAGTGTCCGGACTGGAAGGGGGGGAAAAGTGCCCGGAGTGGGTTGAAGGGGGGGTTGAAAGTGTCCGGACTGCAAGGGGGTGAAAGTGTCCGGACTGGAAGGGGGTGAAAGCGTCCGGACCGGAAGGGGGGTGAAAGCGTCCGGACCGGAAGGGGGATGAAAGCGTCCGGACCGGAAGGGGGGTGAAAGCGTCCGGACCGGAAGGGGGGGTGAAAGCGTCCGGGCTTAGAAGGGTGTGAAAGTGTGCAGACTGACTGGGTCCGGACTGGAAGTGGTTAATGGTGTATGTAGAGCCTGACTCTCGTTCCCGGTGATGTCCAGAGATGAAGATGAGTATCTTTCTCCCTATTGCCAGGGCGGGGGGTGGTAGTGGAAGGCTCTCCCAGGTGGGGGGCAAGGGTGTTGTTGGTCAATGTCAGGCTTTCTCCACGAGAGGGACAAGGGGGGTGGGGGGGGTTGGTGTTGGTCGGTGTCCGTGGGTCGGACGATGTTAGTGTTGCCTAGGGCAGCACAAAACCTAAATACACCACTGGGTGGGTGGCCTTCTTCACCACCTTACTACCACATATAATGCCCCGGATTTTGACGACAATTCACACTATCAGCCGATGTAAATGGAGGAGCTAACGACTATAAAGGTTTCCTGACACCAACAATGGGGTTATGTAACTAGGACAGGATGGTGCCACTTTCACACACCCACATCCTGCTCTTGGACAATCCACATTTCCATGTTCCATGGCAATCAGGGTGAGGTGACCTAAGTTGTGAATATAAATGCTGAGCATCTTTGTGAAACTCTTAGACAGACTTTCTCAAGAGTTTTACCCGAGGAATCCTTGAAATAATTTTCAGGTTTCAGGAAACCCTTGCTAAAATTAATTCATTGGTGATCAGTGGGCAGAATGCTCCTTACATTGGTGGCCTGTTGGAAGAATGGCCCTGACATTGGTGGCCGGTGGCCGAGAACGGCCCTCGCATTGGTGGCCGGTGGAAAGAACGGCCCTCGCATTGGTGGCCGGTGGAAAGAACGGCCCTCGCATTGGTGGCCGGTGAGAAGAACGGCCCTCGCATTGGTGGCCGGTGAGAAAGAACGGCCCTCGCATTGGTGGCCGGTGAAAGAACGGCCCTCGCATTGGTGGCCGGTGAGAAGAACGGCCCTCGCATTGGTGGCCGGTGGGAAGAACGGCCCTCGCCCTCGCATTGGTGGCCGGTGGGAAGAATTTTGCCCCTTTTTAGTGGTAATCATTTGAAAGAGTGGCCCTTGCATTGGTGGCCAGTGGGAAGAATTCGCACCCCCCTTTTAGTGGTAGTCATTTGGAAGATTGCCCCCTACAATGGTGGTCAGCAGGCCACTCTTACAGACCGTTAAAAAAGATCTTTGGTGTCCTGCCCGTTGGCTCTTCAAATAGGCATTGGGTCCAGAACTATTCAGGCACCATCAGATTCAGCCACAATTCAAAGGACTCTTAACCTCTGGAGGAGCCCCCCAGGGTTCCATGGAACACTGGTTGAGAATGGAAGGTCTTGGAACCGAAGAAGTGGTTTTGTCGTGGCGGAGTATAATGAGGGTGGAGGAGGAGAGAGTAGTCTGAATTGGGTCGTGTAGTGCCACCACAGGCCATGGTGCAGTATAATGAGGGTGGGGGAGGGGAGAGTCATCTGAATTGGGCCGTGTGGCGCCCACACAGGCCGTGGCGGAGTATAATGAGGGTGGAGGAGGAGAGAGTAGTCTGAATTGGGTCGTGTAGTGCCACCACAGGCCGTGGTGCAGTATAATAAGGATGGGGGAGGGGAGAGTAGTTTGAATTGGTTTGTGTAGCGCCCTCACAAGCCATGGCGGAGTATAATGAGGATGGGGGTTATGTGGCGCTCAGGGGAGAGTAGTTTGAATTGGGTTGTGTAGCACTCCACAAGCCGTGGCGGAGTATAATGAGGGTGGGGGAGGGGAGAGTAAGTATGACACAAGCCGTGGCGGAGTATAAATGAGGGTGGGGGGGGTAGAGGGGGAGTGGGTGAAGTATAATGATGGTGGGGGAGGGGAGAGTAGTCTGAATCGGGTTATGTGGCGCTCACACTGGCTGTGGCGGGGATTAATGAGGGTGGGGGAAGGGAGAGTAGCCTGAATTGGGTTCTGTAGCGCCCCCACAAGCCGTGGCGGAGTATAATGAGGGAGGGGAGAGTAGTCTGAATCGGGTCGTGTGGCACCCTCTCGGGCTGTGGCGGAGTATAATGAGGGTGGGGGAGGGGAGAGTAGTCTGAATCGGGTCGTGTGGCGCCCACACAAGCCGTGGCGGAGTGTAATGATGGTGTGGGAGGGGAGAGTAGTGGTGTAGCGCCCCCACATGCCGTGGCGGAGTGTAATGATGGTGTGGGAGGGGAGAGTAGTGGTGTAGTAGCGCCCCCACATGCGTGGCGGGTGTAATGATGGTGTGGGAGGGGAGAGTAGTCTGAATCGGGTCATGTAGCGCCCCCACATGCCGTGATGAATAATGAGGGTGGGGGAGGGGAAGGTAGTCTGAATCGGGTCGTGCAGCACCCTCACATGCTGTGGTGAAGTAAAAGTTTGGTGAGGGAAGGGAGAGTAGTCTGAATCGGGTTCTGGTAGCGCCCACACGCACGCATTTCTTCACTCTTCAGTGGGGCGCCTCCATCTCACACCGCAGACTTGCTCTGCCAGGCAGCCAATCACCTCCACCACCCTCCAAGGTCCCACATGACAACATCTCTTCTTTTTCTTCTCTTTTCGTTTGTTGCTCTTCTCATGTCATGTGGTCTTGGTGGACTCACCAGTGATTGGTTCTGGACACCAATTGGTTCTGGACTCACCAGTGATTGGTTCTGGGCCTCACACCCCCCCAAGGTGTGCACATAGCCTTGGTAGTAAGCCGTCCCTCAGCTGATTACCATGGTGTGTCTGTTCTATATAAACCCTTCCAGGATCTGTGAGGGTCACATCATGGAGAGCCCGTCCATTTCATTCCCTTTATTCCTAGACGTGTCTGCTGTGATGTATGTGTGGATGTATTATTATGAATAATGTATACCTCTTACACCGAATACCGTACTCATACATTACACACAACCGCTCAGCCCCCATCCCCAGATCACACACCAACATACCCACAATCCTCTGCAACATTTATGCAAATGAGAGGGGCGGGGACTTTGCAACCTACCACTCAGAAAACGGGGGCGTGGCATCAGAGCATGGGGGCGGGGCGACAAAGCTTTGGGGCGGCATCTCTATGTCCTCCCATTGAACTTTTTAGAGGGGGTGGCTTTCACCTCCATAAATGTGGGGGCGTGGTACCCTCTCTAAATGAGAGTGGGGAAAAGACCGAAACTCCGCCTGGGGGGAGGAGTATGGTGTAGAACTCTTCGAGGGGGCGGAGAAGAGGCGGGATCAGAATCCTCATCTGCCGTGATGGAAGGGGCGGGTCTCTCCACCTAGGGGGAGGAGAACAGGAGGCAAATCATAGAGAAAGAGGCGGCGCTCTGTGGGTTGAGGACACCTGAAGTGACAGGCTGCCCTCTTTTCTACTTCCGGGTCACCTCTGTTTCCATGGCCGCGCCCTGGGATTACAGGGGAAGGAGACATGGACATAGTGGATGGCTCCTCCCACTCTTACAATACTAGATATCTAATAGAGAGATGGTGTCACTGAAATTTGGTTTGGTGTGTTAATGGAATTCTATTCTTTACATGAATCTGAAGAAGAGAAAAAAAACTGTTGCCAAGAAAGCTCCTGCCAAAATGCCTCAAGGGAAGAAACCTGGAAAGGAGGAGTCTGAAGAGGAGGGTAAGCTGCCTGCTGTCTTATGAATTGTTGGCACAAATGATGAACAATTTTGGGACTTAATACTGATCTTTGATGACTGATGTTTGCTGATGTGCCATAAAATGTGTGATAACTTTGTTTTTAACATGCAATGGAGATCTCTTTTTACTGGAACTTTTATTTTTTTTTTTTACTTGTGTAATGAAAGAAAACCTTTTGTCAGATTTTTTTTTTTTTTTTTTTTTGCCGTCTGTGTCCCCGTTGTAGAGATTCAACATTTTGTTGCCACCAAAACATGAATGCAGGAGACCTTTTTCTAATGGGGGCACGTTTTCCTGTGACAACTGTCTGAGAGGATATCCTTCACATTGGAAAGATATCTCCTCTTCATGTTGAGGCAACATTGAAGGAAGTGAAGGGAATTCTCTGACACAGATGGTCAATAAATGTAACCCTCTCCTCTTCTATCCAACATATTTAAAAAGGGAAAAAAAAAGCCTTTTTGCTCTACTTAACTGCATTGCCATATTTAACCACTTCAAGTCTGGACACTTTTACCCCCTTCCTGGTCCAGGCCAATCTTCAGCTTTCAGTGCTATCACACTTTGAATGACAATTGCGCGGTCATCATGCAACACTGTACCCATATGAATTTTTTAGCCTTTTTTTTAGACAGATAAAGCTTTATTTTGGTGGTATTTTATTCACCACTGGGATTTTTATTTTTTTTTGTTATGTAAATGAAAGTCCAAAAATTTTGAAAAAAAGTGTTTTTCTTATAAAATTTTGCAAATATATATTTCATCATAAATCTTGGCCAAAATGTATTCCGTTATCTTTCCAGTAAAAAAAAAAATCCCAAATTAGTTTATAACCAAAATTATAATTTTTAAACATTTTTTTTAACAATTTTATTTTTTTATATTTGTTTTTTTACATACTGTCACTCTAGGAGTGGAGTGTCACCATGGTGACACTACTTTTTTTTTTTTTTTTTTTTTTTTTATACTTTACCAGGAAATTGAGCATTTGTTTTCATTAGTTTTTTTGCTGAAAAATATTTAAAAAAAAAAAAAGTTCATACATTAAAATTTTTTTTGTACCTTAAAATATTTTCAGGGTTTCATGTGCATTTTTATGTACAAATGTGCGCAAAATGTTAAAAAAATTGGCTCTGGAAGTGATGTGTTTAGGAAACGTTATTCGGGGCGCTGGATGTATGCTGGACTCTTGGTTTTCTGGCACCTATAGATCTTTGTCGTGTACTATGCATATCCAGATGCAGAGGTTATCGAAAATGTCAGGAAATCCATATTGGCTGTGTGCATTCCAGTTGAGAAAATTTGAGAATTCTCACCTGGCAATATAATGGCCCTTCTGGGGTACAAGTGTCAAGAAAATTTCAGTTGAGTTTTCTCTTGTCAGTAGTATTAAGTCTGCAAGTGTCAATTTCCTTTAGGTTTTCCAAAACATATGCGGTCAAACCTAAACTTTCAGTTTGTATGCAGTCAGGAAGGCTCTTGCGTGTCTTAGTTGAAGGTAAATCTAAAGGAAATTGAATAGGAAAGTTGTGTAATGTATGGCCAGCTTTTAGCCTCTGTTCTGCAGTTGCCATGGTGCTGCGCGTGTGATTGGTTATAACACCAACCATTAAATGGCTTGACAGTTTAGTTGAAAGATGCAGGCAACTGTGACAGTTGTTGTCATGGGATGCTCTGAATGTCATTTATGTGAAACTGTTAAATCGGTGTGTGTATATCTCTGCTTTAAGTTGTGTTCGTATAGTAGCATAATAGCGTTCCCTTGGGTCTCTGGGACAGATAATGAAGCTGAAATTCCTGCTTTACATGCTAATTCTATTCAATGTTGGCCATCATTTCAAAGTTCATGCCATATTTGCTAATGTGTATTTGGTATTTCTGGTTAAAATCTTTTTTTCTTTTTTTTACTCCTTTTGTTATTTGTCAGTATTTGTTGCAAATCTGAATTCTGCAAAAGATTATGATGAACTTAAAAATGCTCTGAGGGAGTTTTTTCTGTAAGAAGAACTTGCCAGTGCAGGATGTTCAGATTGGAGCCTCCAAGTAAGTATTTTCTTAAGATAACGTGCTGAATAGGCGCCCTGTGCTGCAGCTCCTTCACTTGCTCTGCAACTGCATGCTTCTGCTGGTTCACACCTATGCAGTTTGCGTTTCTGCAGTGCTTTTTGCGGTGTGTTTTTTTTGTACATACGGTTTTTTTCTAGTTGCTAGGAAGATTAAACCAAAAAAATGCATTAAAAAAAATGCACTGCATGCTTTTCCGCATTGTCTCCATTGAAGACTATAGAACCGAAAACTCAACTTTGTGTTAAAAAAAAAAGTCCCTGACCCTTTCCAAAAATATATATACCTGTGCTTAAATCCCAATAGCTTGTACATGCATTTATCCATCAGGTGCTAAAAGGGATGTAACCACATATTAATATTAATTACACCCCTTTAGCACCTGATGGATAAATGCATGTACTAGCTATTGGGATTTCAGCACAGGTATATCTTGTTTGTTGTATTGTTGGGTCAGTAGCCAGACCTGAAACCTTGTAGCTCTCCCCCATTGTGTCTTTTCCCCTATGCTAGCATTGTGTCCACAGTAGCATTTGCGTCGGCAGAGCAGAGTAGGACTGGCCATAGAGGGATTACTTTGACACAGTTGGCCAGCTTAAGCATGTATTGCAATATGTGTGAACTAAATATCCCTATTTATTGCATAGTCTGCTGGAAAGGGTATATACCAGTGTGCAGAGGGTCCTCAGAATTTCTAGTGTTAATATGTGGTTACACCCCTTTAGCACCTGATAGATAAATGCATGCACTAGCGGTTGGGATTTGAGCACAGGGATCTCTTGTTTGTTTGTTGTGCTGCAGCTCCTTCACTTTTCCATCTCTACTGCAGGAGGTTTGGCTATGTGGAGTTTGCTACTGCGGAGGAAGTGGAAAAAGCCCTGAAATTAAATGGAAAGAAGGTTCTTTGTTTTGTGATGAAAGTAGAGAAGGCCAACACTCCTGCAGAGAAAACAAAAATGCAGAGAACATAGGATAGGATCTGTTTGTCCTCCCATATAGTACTTTTGTTTTTAAATTGATCCGTTGGCTAGTTTTTACATTTTCATAATATGATTATATATTAAATGTACACATCTAGCCTAATAGCAAGCAAGAATAGGTCCTGTGTATCTTTTGGATTCTAATTGACTTTAAGGCATGGATTGTGAAACTCTCTGTAAATTAAAGTCAATTACTGCTCACTCTTTGTTCCCTTTATAGTGATGCTGTTATTGGGGGGACCAAAAAGATGTTGGCAGCCTGGTTGTTATGCTGACACACTGTTTTTAATACTTAATCACCAGTTTTAATAAAGTGAGCAGATAAGGAAGGTTGGGGTTCAGTCAAGCCCATATTTGCATCCTTGTTTCAACAATAGCTTCAGTTTCCTCATAGGTAAAGTTTGCAGTACTAGAGGAAGACAATAGTAGCTTCGTCGTGGTGCATGTTCCAAAGTCGTAGAAATGTAGGCCTGATGTGTTCAGTTAGCCCTTCACAAAAGGTTTGTTCTGTGAGTTTAAATAAACGTTGCATTTCAGTAGTTTTCTAGAGCTATACCTGCATTATAGTTTGCAGTGAAAATCGTTGAATTTTCAAAGTGGGGCTGGTCTAAACTGAATCTAGCAGAACTCCAAGGTGGTGGTCCTGGAGCTGCTTATTTTTCCAGATGCACGAACTCTGTTTGTTAAGAACATCCCCTATAGCACAACTTCAGAGGAATTGCAAGAGATTTTTGAAAATGCCAAAGACAT